TTTTCGTTTTAACAAAAAAATCTAACAACAAATTATGATTAATGGGTAAATTTTGAATAATAAAATGTATGTATATATATATATATATCTCTTGATATCTGTATTTAACTTTTTTTTAATTATATAGGGAAATTATAAAGAGTAATATATGTTTAAATTTTTTTTAATCAATTCATAAAGCGCACACATTTTGCAGGCTTGAACCCAGAACATCTAAAGAGAATAACATTCTTTTTTACTATTAAAATCACTTTATGAATTCTCAATATTTAACTTATTGATATATGATAATAAATCCTAAAAGTTCTACGTTATTTTGTTCCTTTAAAGTTAAACCCTATATGTTTACTTGCCTTTTCTAAAAATTGATTTTAATTAATATCGTAACACCAATTCAATAAAAAAATATTATTATTTCCTTAAAAAGAATTATAATAAATATAAGATAAGGATGATGTTATCTTTTTAATTTATTTAAAAAATATACAAAAATCACTCACATAAAAGTAATACCAAATTCTAATATATTATAATCCAATATTTTCTTTCCCTCAAATCAAAAATCAAAATTAAATGGATAAGGCAGCAATTTCATCCTTATTTTCACAATGGTTTCATCCTTTAGTCTTTGAATTTTATCCTTACCTTCGACAATGATTCAATGTTGTTCATGCCCGTCTAGATATTTTAATTTCCATTTGCTATAATTTGTTTAAACAATTTCACGGCGCTTCTTCATTTTGTTTTCTTTGTTGGCATTTGCTTGTCCGTACTATAAACCCCACCTCTCATGTCCCCCCTATATATAATGATAATTGATATCACTTCTCTTCCATTCTCCATCACATTCAAAACCCAAAAAACCATTCTTTTTCTTTCTCATGCCATAGTCATCGAGAAAACAGTGAGAGAACCAGATCCCTTGTTTTGGTTCTTCATTTCCTGCATCAATGGCGGATTCAAGGACGTACATTTCCAAAACAGAGCTTGAAAATCACAAGAAGCCGGGAGATATTTGGATCTCTATACAGGGTAAGATCTATGATGTCACCGAATGGAGTCTCGACCACCCTGGAGGGCCAGTTCCTTTGCTGAATCTAGGCGGCCGAGATGCCACTGATGCGTTTGTAGCCTATCATCCGGGTATAGCTTGGCAATATCTCGATAAGTTTTTCACTGGGTACTATCTCCAAGATTACTCCGTCTCGGAGGTATCCAAGGATTACAGAGGGCTTGCTGCCGAGTTTTCAAAGATGGGTCTTTTCCAAAAGAAAGGACATGTGACTTGCATATTGCTTTGCATCATAGCATTGTTGTTTTCCATCACTGTTTATGGTGTTTTGTGCTCTGACAGCGTTTGGGTCCACCTCTTTTGTGGTGGGTTGATGGGGGTTTTGTGGATACAGAGTGGGTGGATCGGACATGATTCTGGGCATTACGTGGTAATGACTAACCAAAAAACCAATAGATTTGCTCAGCTCCTCACCGGGAATTGCCTTGCAGGGATCAGCATGGGATGGTGGAAATGGACTCACAATGCTCATCACATTGCTTGTAACAGTCTCGATTTCGATCCGGATCTTCAGCACATGCCGTTTTTCACGGTATCTTCCAAGTTCTTTAATTCAATCACATCCGCTTTCTATGGAAGGAAGATGAACTTTGATTCTTTCACAAGGTTCTTGGTTAGTTACCAGCATTGGACATTTTATCCTGTAATGTGCTTTGCTAGAATTAATCTATTTGCACAATCTTTCTTATTGTTGTTCTCTAAGAGGAAGGTCCCAAATAAGGGTCAAGAGATTTTGGGGCTACTTGTTTTTTGGACTTGGTATCCACTGCTTGTCTCTTGCTTGCCTAATTGGTATGAAAGAGTGATGTTTGTGGTTGCCAGTTTTGCTGTAACTGGAATCCAACATGTTCAGTTCTGCCTAAACCATTTTTCGTCTAGCGTTTACATCGGACCTCCGAGTGGGAACGACTGGTTCGAGAAGCAAACCGATGGGACGCTTAACATATCATGTTCATCATGGATGGATTGGTTCTATGGTGGCCTGCAATTCCAGGTTGAGCATCATTTGTTTCCAAGGTTGCCAAGGTGCCATCTGCGGAAAATTTCACCATTGGTTAAGGATCTATGCAAGAAACACAACCTGGCATACAATTGCGCATCGTTTTGGAAGGCTAATGCGATGACTATCGAGACTCTTAGATCAGCCGCCTTGCAGGCCAGGGTTCTCACCAATGCAGTTCCAAAGAACTTGGTATGGGAAGCTGTCAACACACATGGGTGAGAAATTTGGGATTGAAAATGTGAAGGCTCCTCCATGTTTTGTCATTGCTTCGAGGTCTTCAATGATTTATGCTTATGTTTTTTATGATTACAGATGTTAAAAGTATTCAGGTCTCTTCCTTTACTTTTTATGTTCATTGCTCTGAGATTCATAGATCAATTCTAAAATGGATTTCAGTATCAAGTTTTGCTCTTAATGATTTCTTGTTTCATTCAACCTGGTTTCCCCCATTGGCTAGCTCTGGTTTGCATTTTCCATCAATAAATAGACAATTTGATTGGGAAAGTGGGCCTAGAAAGGAGCATTGCCAGCGTAGAATGTGGACCAATGCTCTGAGCTATGGTTTATTTGGCAAGACACTATTCGATGAGTGATAAGTGGTAGAGAGGACACAAACCCAACTTCCAACCCTTTAACAAACATCTATGACCACTTGTTTACATTGCAGAGTGCTGGTACTCGGGACCACTAATAAACAATGACTTGGCACTAGAGTAAGTTGAGTCGGGTAAATTAATTCAAGTTAGGGTCATTTGGGCTTGTTAATTGTTTTTCTTAGATGAGTCATTGTTGGTTTAGGTGATGCATGCTGGAGTTTGAATTGTTAACTTTGTATGGTCAATGGGATTTTTCAAGTTGAGTTATTTATAATCGGATTATTTAAGATTTGAATTGTTAATTTTTCATAATCAAATCGATTTTTCAAATTCAAATCAAAATTAACATATATGATTTACAATGGTTTTGATTCTAATATATATATATATATATATATATATATATATATTGTAGGCGTGTAAAAGATTTGTATGCACTGCGCATGAACTAAGCCGAGCCCATAGATAGATAGATTTAGGTCGACATATCAAAACTATGTACAGTAACTGTGTTTTACCGGATATAAAATGGGAGCCCTTGGAACTGCAAAACCATCCCTTAAATGATAGAGCTCGACATACCACGTGAAACTAACATTATGGTAGATGTTCAAAATTTGAGAGTATTTTCATTTAATCATTAAAAAAAAAATCTTAGTCTGTGAATTATTTTTTTAACTGCGTGTATTTAATTTATTGATATACATTTTCGGATTGAGTTTTACAAAGATTCATAATCGTTAAGGTTTGGAATATTGACATTGCTTAAGGGATCTAGTATTCCTTCCTACAAGACCAACTGGTTATTAAATTTGTGAATCACTGTTTGATTTTAATATGAGGTGATGAGTATATAACTAAATCAAATCAAAAAAAATTGAGCTAATCGAGTTGATGAGTCTTATTTATTATTCAAATTTTATTTTGATTTTTTTAATAGAGTTTCCTTTCAAATTTAATTATAATTATTTATAATATCATAATACATATTAGTTATAATTTAAACAATTTGTTCTAATTATATCAGATATACATATATATTTTTCTATATTCTTTTCTACATATGTAAGTAAGATATGTATTGTTATTTAATAAATCAAATGTCAATTAAAATTATAAAATATATTTATAATGATATTTTTAAAAGAAATAATTTTAGCAATAAAATATTGATGAGAGTATAAATAGGTGAAAGAATTAATAGAAGAAAGAATTATAAAAATGCAATTAAAAACAAATTGAATAATATATAAAATTGATGGTCTACATTATGAAAAGAGAAGTAATCATTTTCAAAAAGAAAAATTGAAGCTATATTGATTTAATAACGTGTAGTTCAAATTTAATTGATAATAAATGAATAATTGAAACAAATAAAAAAATTAGAGATTAGATTAACAAAATAATCAAATTGCACAACCAAATATCAAAATGATATTTTGAAATTCAAATTTTCAAATTGATAATATCTAAACTCATAGATTCGATAATTTAATTCTACTTGAATAATTTAAAATTAAAATATATATATATATATATATATATTTTAAAATCAAGTCGAATTTTAGTAGCTTTACGAAGATAGATGAAATCCAAACCCGAGGTTGTAGAGTGGGAAATATAGACAAAATTCCAACGGCTATTGTGTAGGCAGAAGAAAGACGATAATTATAACATCGTAATAGATTAACAAGTTTGGACTTAGTGGTGTCCTATTAACATCCAATCAAAATGAATTCTACCGACACAGTTCGAGCTTTCAAACTAAACCAAAACACATGGGAATCCAAGTCTAAACTTGTGAATGGAACATAGATTTCAGTAGGCACATTGATCCCCACGCAATTCCAACCACTTTCTTTTACTACAAAAGGCATAAAGTTAAGCCCCCTTTCTATCAGTTACCTTCACACTTTTTAATGTATTCCTCTTCTCTCGTAAAATATTTCAACAGCTACAGCTTGCAATAAGCAAACAGAGGCAAATTTAAACTGCAATTTACTTGTAAGAACTTATGGTAATTCTCTCCAGCTATTATAACATTGCATTGACCATGAAAAAAAGAAAGAAAAAGAACTGTTTCGTGATTTCTTTTTGGAATTTAAGATAAAACAATCGGGATTCAAAAAGTAAAAATCTTCTCAAAAGGTCCAGTTCCAGATCTTGATCCTTAGATCAACTTTACATTTAGCCGCAGAAACGTCAGCCAACGATGGCGACTTACCTTTGGGAATTGTCCCCTTAATCCCATCGCAGGTAACCCTAATTCCCAACTTCTTGCTCTTCGATCCACCCATTCTCACCGTCACTCTGGTATCCATCTCAATTTTCAAGGACGCCCCATTTTTTTCTTCAGATCCGGTCTTAAGCTGTTCACCGTATCCACATCCAGATCACTCGACGTCGTCACCACCACTCCCTTGAAAGTGGTGTCGTTTTTTCTGTCACTGACGAAAGCCGGCAATGCTCCGTGTCCTAAAAACGCATCGCTGTTGCTCGATACGCATGAGACGACGAAAGGGTCGTAAGAGAAGGAGAGATATGAGTTTGGGTTTTTGGAAGAAAGGGTTAAGTTGAAAAGGGTTGAGAGGTGGGAGGAGGAGGAGTGGGCGGAGGTGGTTAAGTTTAGGCGGTGGATGCGGAGTGAATCGAGGGTGAAAGAGGGGCGTTGAGGGCGGTAAAGGACGTAGAGGACGGTGCCGGTTATGGCACCCAAAAGCACGAGTACGAGAATTACGAGGATGGACCAACAACAGAAGCAACAACAATAGTTCCGCTGTGGACGGTTATGCTGACGGCGGTTATAGGGTTGAGGACGGTACGGTGGGCGGGAAGTGGGGTTGTAAAGGTGAGATGTTTTGGTACCGCCATTTGTTGTAGGTGGTTTGGTAGCTGCAATTCCAACGGTGGCGCCTTTGGCGGGAGGTGTAGCAGCCGTTGTGGCGGTGGGTTTGGAGGGGGGGATTTTATCTGACATTGTGAAAAAGAAAGTGTGGGAGAGTGAAGAGTGGAATGTGTAAAGGAAGGAGTGAATTTGAATGGCAAGAAAATGGAAAGGTGCAATCCACCCAAAGAGGACGGATGCCACCTCACCACATTCTATAATTTGCTTTTATGACAATAAAATATTCAATGTATTAATATAAATTGATTTCACTCTTCTAACATTCTACCGGTTATAAAATTTTGTTATTTACCATTGGCTCGACTTGGAACTTGAACTACACCTGTTTGCAATGATGGATAGAAGGGATATATATATATATATATATATATATATATATATATATATATATATATATTTGAGAAAATCGTCTCAGTGACCAAAAATGCCTTATAACATACGATTTTAACCAACTTTTTTTGGATTTGCCAAAATGACCAACAAAATCGCAACGCGAAATAAAAATCGCAACGCGATCCCCAGAATCGCAAATCAGTTTCCAAAATCGCAACGCGATTCTTGAAAATCGCAATGCGATAGTACAAATTCGCATTGCGATTTTCCAGAATCGCAACGCGAATATGAAAATCGCAACGCGAACACATAAATCGCAACGCGTATCCGTAAACCGCAACGTGTATCCGTAAATAGCAACGCGTATCCGTAAATCACAATGCGTATCCGTATATCGCAACGCGTATCCGTAAATCGCAACGATAATCCGTAAATCGCAACGAGAATCTGTAAATCGCAACGATAATCCGTAAATCGCAACGAGAATCTGTAAATCACAACACTGAAATTTTGGGTATATAACTACGCAACAGCAGCAAATCATAAACTAAATCCCTAAATCGCAACTCATTCCATCTCCATCTATCACTTTCTCCGGCGACATCCGTTCCTATATCCAACGACATCCTTCCCAATCCGGCAACAGGTTTTAGTTTCGCAGCTCGTCTGTTTAGTAAATTAATTTACAACCATGAAATCATCTAATGTTGATCATGTTTGGATAGATTTGTGTTTTGGAGGGTCATGTGATAATGTTCATGGTGTTTTACAATATATGCCTTTACCCATGAATCTTCAACTAAAATTGTCTTTACAAAAGTTAACTTATGAAACTCTAATGCTACGTGTTTCAAAGAAATTGAATTTAGAGCCCCTAAGTGGATTTAGGCTATCTTATCAGAGAAATGGTAAAGTTTATTTGTTAACCGACAATGAAGATGTTGAACGATTCATTACTTACATTAGTGTTTCACAAGATGATGTTACATTGTATGTTGTTGAACCTAGAAGTAGTATTGTTGGGTCAGTAGCGGGTAGTAATCAACTAAGTTTTTCTCAAAACCCACAACCTTTCTCTAATCCAAATCCCAATCAACTTTCAGCACCAAATTTCGGTTTTCGTATTGACCAGTTAGACGATGATGAGCCAACAGAAAAAATTGTGAGTACTAGTCAGTATTCGAAATTTGGTCTTGGTCAATATCCGGACTTTGATATTGGTCAATACACGGATTTTGATGATGTTTCAGAAGAAGAAACAGACCCTGCGTGTAATGATTTTGATATTGGTCAATACCCGAATTTTGATGATGAAACAGCCGTTGCCGAAGAAGGTATTGTTGATGATAATGAGGAGGAAGTTACGACTGTGAATGAACATGTTGAACATCCATTCTGTAATTCATATAATCCTGAAGAAGAAAAAGAAGAAGAAAAAGTCCCCGAAGAAAAGAAAATGCCACGAGCGTATAACTGGAATATGCCAGAATTACTTCAGATACCAGAAGAAGAGTTGGTAAAGAAAGCAGTTGATTGTTACACAAAAGTTATTCGTATCAAGAAAGATGATTGTTTTGATACAAAGGAAGACTTGAAGATAGCTTTGTATACGAAATGTGTGGAAGATGGCTATCAACTAAAAGTTAACAAATCAAGCAAAGATCGTTTCGAAACAAGGTGTATGATTGACAAAAACTGTACGTGGCGTATGATTGCAAAGAGAATAAAAGATTGCGAAATGTTTCAAGTTAGGACTTTTATTGATAAACATACATGTTCAAGAACCCAAGTTTTTCCTCACCATAGACAGGCAAACAAAAAGGTGTTGGGTGGTTTTCTGGCTGAGTTAATGTTTTTGAATGGCAGGGTATATCGGGGACATGAAATTATGACTGACATGAATGCTCGGTTCAAGATTAGTATATCATATTCTCAAGCTTGGAGAGCCAAATGTTATGCCTTGGAATTGTTGAGGGGGTCGCCAGAAGCATCGTTTGCCCAACTGCCGGCTTATTGTCACAATTTAAAGCTGAAAATTCCTGGGTCGGTAACTCATATCAAAACAGATAGAGATGGACACTTTGAGTTGCTGTTTATCGCCATTGGTGCTACGGTTAGTAAATCAATATAATTTTGTTGACTCATTTTTGTTAGTTACATGCATTTCACATTTAAATGATTATATTTCTTGTGTATATTATTTTGTAGATTCGTTCGTTTATTACTTGCATGCGCCCAGTTATTATAGTTGACGGAGCACATTTGAAAGGCCGATACCTTGGAGTAAACTTATTAGCAGTAGCCATGGATGCTAACAATGGGATATTGCCAATAGCTTACGGGGTTGGCAAATCTGAAACCTTTGATTCATGGACATGGTTTATGGGGCATCTTAGGGATTGCATAGGTCCTATTAGCAATCTGACAATCATATCCGATAGGGCAAACTCAATTGACAACGCTGTTAGAAGGTGTTTCCCAGATGCTTTTCATGGACTTTGTGGTGTTCATTTGTATAGAAATCTAAAATCAAGGTCTGCTGGTATAAAAAAGCACAAATGGACATACTGGAAGGCTGTAAAAGCTTATCGGGAAGTGGATTTCAATAAGCATATAAATTGTTTAAGACGTGTTTTGCCTCAGTGTGCTCAAACACTAGAAGATGTCGGGTTTGAAAGATGGTCAAGAGTACATCAACTTGGAGCAAGATATGGTTTCATGACGTCTAATAGTGCAGAATCAATCAACGCTCTAAGTCGTCATTCCCGGAAATTACCCATTATTATGTTAATGGAGTTTTTTCGAGCCTCTATTCAACAGTGGTACTACAAGAAAAGAAACCATGCAGGTATTATTTCTTTGAATTCGTAACTTATCATATTTATATATTTTACTAAGTATTGTTTATTTAAATTTATAGGAACATTGGAACATCGTGTTACACCATGGACTGAAAAAAAGATAACGAAACGTGTTGTGAAGTCAACGTCATGGAGAGTTGAACCATGTTCAAACACTTTGTTTCAAGTACTGGATAATAACTTAAATGGGCTAGTCGATCTAAATGCAAATACGTGTAGTTGTATGAAATGGCAAACATCTGGTTATCCGTGTGGCCATGTTATAAAAGTTGCTCTTCATTTAAACCAAGATGATTCAAGCGCATACGCTATAGATTGCTACACTACAGAAGTTTATTGACAGACTTATGCCGAGATTGTCTACCCTATTCCACATCCTTCTGAGTGGGACATACCAGATGACTTACAAACAGTTTTGCCACCAGCCATGGACAGAATGCTACCTGGCCGACCAAAAAGTCACGATCGTATACCGTCTAAGGGTGAAGAGAAGAAGAGATCGACATGTAGTCGGTGCAAGGAAAGTGGTCATACAAGGTTGACATGTGGATCACCAGTGCCATCACAATCATCTTTTCCTCTACCAAAATATGGATCCTCATCAAAATCCAAAGCTCATATGGTGTCAAGCAAAAGGCAATCATCTTTAAAATCCCAATCACAACTGGCTTCACCTTTTGGGACTGTTAACTTAGGTGATTTTTAAATGCAAACGTTGTATTATGTGGATTTTATGTGTGAACTTTTAACATTTTTAGTTGAATTAATGACTCAGGCCAACCATTTTGACTTAACCAACTCTTGTTATTCAGTTGTTATCACTTATTAGGCATGCATTTGACTATCGTAACACGGAAATTACAATCGCAACGAGAGAATCGCAATGCGAAATGAAAATCCCAACATGAAAATCACAATGCGGAAATGAAAATCGCAATGCGAAATGAAAATCGCAATGCGAAATGAAAATCGTAACGAGAGAATCGCAATGCGGAAATGAAAATCGCAATGCGAAATGAAAATCGCAACGAGAGAATCGCAATGCGGAAATGAAAATCGCAATGCGAAATGAAAATCGCAACGAGAGAATCGCAATGCGGAAATGAAAATCGCAATGCGAAATGAAAATCGCATTGCGATTCTCTCGTTGCGATTTTCATTTCCGCATTGCGATTTTCATTTCGCATTGCGATTCTCTCGTTGCGATTTTCATTTCGCATTGCGATTTTCATTTCCGCATTGCGATAGTCATTTTTGCCTTCAACATAATGCAGATTGAAATCAACAAAATCAACCATTACATTTCAATCAATTAAACAAGCACAAATAAGAATTATGTTCGCATCAATTACACCAATCAACTTTTACAAATCATCTTTTACAAATCAATTAAACAATAAAAAAATAAGCAATAATTCTTATTTCCAATCATCTACTATTGAATCAACTTTTACAAATCAATTAAACAATCAAAAAACAATCAATTAAACTATTGAATCAACTTTTGCAGCCATACATCATTTTCACGCAGTTCACTTCTGAGATTAACCTGCAGAAACCAAACATTTGCTCAAACAACACTTTCTACACATCTAAAACCTACAAACAGCAAATTATTGAATTCTAGGTACTTAACCAAACATTTTCAAACCAAAAGTCTATAAACTTACCAATTGTTTATGGACATTTTTATAACGCGGATGCAGGTTGGCAGCGTCTCGTATATATCGATTTAGCCATATAATGCCGAAACCACAAGCCTACTGCAGCTCTATCTCTATCGGTGGGAGGTAGATACTTGATGCTTCCCGTCGTCAAACGCTCCAACGCCAAGCATACGAGAGGACCACAATCTCCTCTGGCTCCTTCCGTTTGTTG